ATTGAATTTTTATATAATACTGCTTAAGCTTAAGAGTAGTAGTATGTGGTTGTTTTAAATGAGGATGAAAGAGTTATCCTACACTATATAGCTACTTCAGTATGTTTCTCTGAAGCAGTATCTGCCTCCAAAAAGACACCTCCACACAGTCTTCCACACTTTTTTTGTTCAGTATATTTCTTGTACTCTTGTCATTTACATATGGAATTGTATTCTTAGCAAGCACAATAGGACAGTGTGCAGCATATATTTCCTGTATTTAAATCTAAAGTTATTTCTCTCATAAAACTTTTAAGGTATCAAAAAGAATTAAGCCTAGAACTATTTGTATAACATTCCAATTTATCTCTTCTTCTCTTTCTTTCTATTTCATCTTCCTTTTTTTTTTCTAGCTTCATCATCATCATCATTGTTGTCATCCTTATGATATTATTCAGAATTGCTAAAAATATACACAGTGGGTCTTAGAGAGACTACAGACAGCTGGAATGTGGTTCTTTTAGTAGCACATTTTTCTTTCCAAAGTCAAAGGCCTTTGTCTCCTGAGTATGCTCCCAAGGGTGTGTTAACTTCCCTCTTTGTCCTCCCCAAACTTCCTAATTTCATTTTTGGATTGTGTGATTTTATTTGTCTTTTGTATATGTAAATAAACTATTTAAAAATAAATTTTGTTTGGTGACTGATTAGTTTTATGCATTTAACTTGGATGATAATAAGAGGTCACAGTTAATGTCCCTGGAAATTAGGGAATTACTTAGAGATCGTGTCCCTTTAACTAGATTCATTCTCAACTTGGAAAATAGCTTAGGCTTCATTCTCCTCCAACCTTCTGCAAAGTGTTTTGAAGAATTTAGCTTAAGGGAATAAAATCTGAAAATTAGAGGTTTATTTTTCTTTAAAGATATAAACTGAGTGTTGGTATTTTTCAGACAATTAAGAGCTAATATTTAAGGGCTTTGGTTGTAGTTCCTTTGCTGCTGATTAGGTATTCCTCCGTGGTGATTAGTGAATGTACAAATGCAATCATTTGGTAGGGCTTAATCACTCATGTGAGAGGAAAGTGAGCTACCCAGAAAGTGAAATTGAAGCTTGTATAACTTCCATTTACCTTATTTTTTTAATTGCAAAAAGAAACATTTTTGACTAAATTAAGAATATTGAGTCATATAAGATATATTGTGGTTTAAGAGAAACAGAGAACCTGGGGAAATGTATGACCATATTGCCATAATATTTATTATATTTATTATATTATCTGTGGTACAGGTAGCTTATGAATAACTGGCCTTTACCACACTAGGACACATTTCCTCAGAGAGAGAGAGAGAGAGAGAGAGAGAGAGAGAGAGAGAGAGAACAAAGTGCTACTTGAGCAAGTGCCTCTCCTTTGTTTGTACTGGATGGCTGAGCACCCACAATTATAGCATGGGCAAGGGGGAGGAGGTATGCTTTTTCCCCAGGTTTAGCACTTAACTCAAGATTGAGAGGAGAGATATATGGCTATACCTTTTTATTTCCTACAGGTCCTCTGAGGCAAGGGGAGAGTAGAATGCATATATTTGGGCAAAAGTGTTGTTTTTTGTTTGTTGTGTTTTCAGCTGAGATGAGTGGCAGGGCCCGAGTCCTGAGAGCGAGGCCTGGGGCGTGGGTCTGGGCATCTTAGAATGATGAGCCAGGGCTGTGTGTGTGGGGAGGCCGACTGGCTTCTCAGGTCAAGCATTGTAGGGTGGCACGACTGTTAGGCTCAGTGGTTGTTCTTCACATGTGAAGTTCAAAAGCTCAGCTTTGGAGGCTTTCCCAGAGGACCAGCTTCTTCTTGGAGACTATTTTATACTAATCAAATCCACAATTGCTAATAATGGAATTTGACCCTTGAACAAGATGGGTTTGAACTGGGTCCTCTTATAAGTGGATTTTTATTCAATTAATATTATAAATGTATTTTATTAATAACATCCTTCTAGCTTACTTTATTGTAAAAATAGAGCAAGTAACAAATAACATACAAAATAGGTGTTTATTGACTATTTGTGTTATGGGTAAGGCTTCCAGTCAATGGTAGGTTATTAGTAGTTAAGTTTCTGGGGATTCAAAAGTTATATATCGACTTTCGACTGTGCAGGGGATTGGCATCCCTAACACCTTTGTTCAGAAGTCAACTGTATACATCAAAATGCTATACCTACTCCGGTCTTCCAGCCAAGATTTCTGGGTCTTCATTTCTAGGGTGATTAACTGTCCCAGTTTGCCCAGAACTGTCCTGGTGTTAGCATTAAAAGTCCTGCCTCCAGAAAAATCCCTCAGTCTTGGGGGAAGTCCCTCAATCCCAGGGGGATGGTTGATCACCCTGTTTTACTTCCCTGAGCCTGTAGCAGCTGCGTTGTGGGAGGTGGGAAATGCAGTCATTGCTGCTGTGGAGAGTCTTTTCCCTGTAGTGCAGATGATAAACATCCCTCAGCTCTGGCATAGCCGTACAACCCAGGATGCAATTTCAGGGGCAGATAATGTTGCTCTATCTCAAATGTGCCCAGGTACTTCTGATGATCCATTGCTACATAACAAATGACAGAAAATTAACAAAATTAACAGGCTTAAAAAATGTTACTTCATTACCTTCCTGGGTTTTTGTGGGTCAGGGATTTGAGAAACGCTGAGCTGGCAATTCTGGCTCCTTCAGTATCATAGTGGCTACAACCAGAACAGCTGGGGATGGGTCGGACACCTCCCTGTTCATGTCATCTCAGGGCCTCTCCAGGGAGGCCCTCTGCATGGGTTTCTTTAAACCCTATCCTTGGCATGGTTGCTTCCGGGCAGTTTGATACTTACCTGGCACTTCAGGGTTCCAGGGCAATCATTCTAGCCAACAAGTAGGAAGCTGCCTGGAATGTCCCCTAGGATATCGTTGCATAGCATTCTTTTACCATAGCACAGGATTCAAGGAAGGTGGGCATAGATATCATTTCTCGATGGTTGGAACATCAATAGCACATGCTGGGATGGAGAGATTATTGCAGTCATCATTGGAGAAGACAATTCGCCACAATTACCTTGGCTCCAAAATGCAGTTTTTCTTTAATAAAAATACTGAAGTTGTTAAAATATGATTTTTCCTCATGAATTCTCATAAAGCAATTTTCATTTTGAATGAAGACAAAAAGATAAGCCTGTAGATGTTTCTTGAATTATCCCTCAAATCCTTGCTCACCATTGTTTTACTGGACTGAATTTATCTATATCTATCTGTCTGTCTGTCTGATATACATCCCCCAGCCCAAAATTAAGTCAACTGACCAAAAGTTATAGTAAGAATTTTAGGGGGTGGGTGTGGTATGTCCATACACATAAGCGCCCTGGGGAGGGGCCATGGAAAGGAAAGTAATTGGAAGGAGAGAAGGACATCAGTGGCACAGGATGACTCAGGTTAAAGGGAGGTCTTTACTGCAGAAGGAACTCTGAAGACTGATGACTGGGGAGGGAACTAAGGGACAAGAGTAGTAGCAGTCATTTAGAAGTGAAGGGCAGGTATATAAGCTTTGTCCACAAAAAGTCCGGTCATTGTTAATATAATGAGAACGGTTTGTGCCATATCAATGTAACCTGGCAGCCTAGGAGAGTGGACTGGAATGTGCGTGCATGAACAATGATGACTTCACTGTACTAGTCAGTGGGGGCAGTAGACACTGCTGAATGAGAGCATGTGACTGTGTGGCCATTGTATTCAAAATGACTGAGTGAGTAGAGGAACAAATCTGCATCAAATTTTGCATTAAGCTTGAATGTTCCTCCGTGGAAACTAATGGGATGATTCAGAAGGTCACAGCTATGAGCAACTGGTGATTGGCAGCTTCATCATGACAATGTGCCCTCTTATGAATCACCTCTCGTGCAGAGTTTTTTTGCAAAACATCAAATCCCCCAGGTGACTCAGCCCCCTACAGACCAGATTTGGTGCCCTGCGATTTCTGGCTTTTCCCAAAACTAAAATAACTTTTGAAAGGGAAGAGATTTCAGACTGTCGATGAGATTCAGAAAAATACGACAGGGCAGCTGATGGCGATTGGGAGAACTGTGTGAGGTCCCAAGGTGTCTACTTTGAAGGGGACTGAGGTGTCATTGTCCCATGTACAATGTTTCTTGTATCCTGTATCTTCTTCAGTAAATGTCTCTGTTTTTCATATTGTATAGCTGGATACCTTCTGAACAGACCCTGTACATATTGCAGCACTTGCTGTGTATGATCATCTGGTTTAAAATGTGGATACTAATGTTCTGTCCCAACTGACCTAGCCTGTCTCTTGCCATTGTGATAATTAAGAGCCATGAGTTACTCTTTTTGATAGCCTCCAGCTTCTCACTGCTGGGTAATAGAAATTGGGAATTTTAAAAAATGGCACCATGGATGTACCTGGAGAATATTACGCTAAGTGAAATAAGCCATTCAGAGGAAGACAAGTACCATATGATTTCACTCGTATGTGGAATCTAATAAACAAACTGAACTAACAAGCAAAACAGAGACAGACTCATAGATAGAGAACAGACTGGCGGCTCTGAGGGTGGCGGTAGGGGTGCTGGAATAGAGCAAAATGGAAAAAGGACTCACGGACATGGGTAACAGTGTGGTGACTGCAGGGTGGAGGGGGATATAAGGGAGACAAATGGTAATGGAAAAAATACAATAAATAAATTTTGAAAAATGCAAAAAATAAACAGTATGATTTGAACATAAAAATGTAAAGCAATTACATGGGGGATTTGCTGACAACATTGTTTTATTAGATAACTTTCAGGAAGGCATGCTGCTAATTTTTTAAACTGATGTTTTTTGGCTTGCTATATATTTAATATTCAAGTTTTATGATTCTTATATGAGTTCTATTTTGTCATAAACTCATTATTGTTGAGAAAAATGTCAAAAATTAAAAAAATAGGATAGCAGAATGATTATAATTCTAAGCCATAATGCATTTAAGAAGATATTTTATGTGTTTGGATTATAGGAGTACTGTAATACGGTCCAGTTAGACTCTGGGATAGATTACCGGAAGAGGGAACTTCCTGCTGCAGGAAAACTCTACTACCTGTAAGTCTGTTCTTTTCTAAATTTTAATTTTCTTATTTTTTTTACACGCCCCCAACTGGGTACCTGGTCCACAACCCAGGCATGGGCCCTGACTGGGAATTGAACTGGCAAACTTTTGTTTCACAGGCTGGTGCTGAATCCACTGAGCCACACCAGCCAGGGTGTCTAATATACTCTTATTCCATACACAGTTGCCAAATTTATATTAATGATACTCCTTTTTCTAATTTCTTTTCCATGGCTAAAATGGTTTCCTATTGCCTATAGGAAGTCTATTCTATTCTGGCCTATGTTAAAGTCCCTTTGCTAATACCATACTGTCTTTACTTTTAATGCTTTTTAAAAATTTATTGATTCTATAGAGAGGAAGGGAGAGAGAGAAACATTGATTTGTTGTTCCGCCCATTTATACATTCATTGGTTGACTCCTGTACGTAGCCTGACCAAGGATCAAACCTAAATTTTAATTTTCTAAGCTTACTGTTTAATAATAATCAGAAAAGGATGAGAAAAATAAACAAGGTAATTAATTATTAGAGCATGAAAGGCTAGTTTTGAGCCCTGTGATTTTTAAAATACAAAATATTAAAATATTAACTTCTTTGAACTGTGTTATTTGCCATCCACATTTGCATGATTTATAATGTGTGATTGGATGAAACCCTAATTAGTTTTTTGGGGAGGAGTGATGACAGATGGTTAGAAAGTAATGAGTATGCTCTTATAAGACATCTAGTAATAAGAAAATATCTTTACTATGCTAAAGTAATTATTTGTAGACATCTTCTGATAAATGTTCCTTTTCTGTTCCCCGAAAATAGTTGTTTCATTTTGTCAATCTGTTTGTATTTATTTTTGTTGATTGACTTCCATACATAACTATGTAAAATATATGTACACAAGTACAGCTGGATATATTTTGTCTTTTAAAGGCTAAAACTTTCCTGAGTGGACCAATTTATAAATACATGTCTTCATCATGCGCAGTTAATGCTGAAAAACAAATACAGTTGTTTTTTAAAAAAATGTTTGTTAGAACCTGAAAAGGAAGAAGTGCTTTACAAATGCAAACTGTTGTTTTGTGTATGCCACCAGTGTTTGGCACATTGTGGGATCCCAGAAAATAGATCTGTCTAAGGCAGCAATTGTCAATCTTTTTCATCTCATGGCACCTATAAAGTAATTACTAAAATTCTATGGCATACCAAAAAAAAAATTTTTTTTTTCCGATCTGACAAAAGAGTAGGTATAATTTTGATTCATTCACACTAGATGGCTATTGTTATATTGGTTGTTGTCATTTTTTTATTTGACTGTCTAAGGGAGAGGAGGTCAGTGCCCCTGACTAAATAGTCAGGGATCGCATGTTTTAAAAATTCTAGCAGCACACCAGTGTGCTTCTTGAAGCATACCAGTTGAAAATTGCTGGTCTAAGGGCTAATTGTGATTTAACTCTAAGGCATGTTTCTGCTAATTTAAATTTTGATGACAGTGAGTATATGAGAGGTTCAGAAAAGTTCTTGTGTCTGCCACCTTGTAAGCAGAAGTACTTTACTGTTTTTGAAGCAGAAATTAGCTAGAAAAATCACATAATTAAAATTGCATACTTTACAGTGGACCAAGGGGACTATTTCAGTTTATTATTCAGATTCTGATGATTATTTATAGGAGGTTCTTCATCTGCCCTTAAGTACTTTGTCTTTAAAGTACTTTATAATTTTAAAAAACCCTTATAGCACTTCTTCTCCCTTTAACTTAGACTCCCCCCAAACCCCATTTTCTTTTATGTTTGTGTTTTCTGGACTTTTTATTCTTCTGATATTCTCAGGCTCTCTTGATTCTCAGCTTCTTATTTTTTGATATTCCAGGTGTGTGGTGCTTAGAAATTAATTTTTTATTATTATCCCCTTTATTCCTCAAAGGTAATCCTTGGTTCCTGTTTTCTTACAAAATGTACCCATATGTGGGAGAATTAAAACATTTTTCTAATGGGAAGCTCTGTAAATAAAGATGGTAGTCTGGGTCTAAATCATGACCTTTGTTTCATAGTGCCAGAGAGGTCTCCGTGGAACCTACAGGAGGTGGAAAGGCTGCTTTTGCTTGGAGCATAGACATTTTATCTTTTGACCTACCTTTGTTACTCCTTCCTCTTCCTGATAAAAGTAATACAATTCTAACACAATGAAATTCAGGTTGTGCTTAAAACACGTACTGGGAAAAAACAAACTCTAACAACGTCTGAGTCCAGGAAACGAGAATCTACAAAGGATTCCATGAAGCTCTGGAATAGCTTTCTTAAAATATATATAAATTCATTTAATCCTCAAGGAAGGTAGTTTTGGTGATGAATTTAACATCAAAAGGGCTTTCACAATAGTCTGGTAACCAAGAAGAGAGAGGCTGGGGGCACACCTGTCAGGAGGGTAAGGCAGATATGCATCTCTGCGGAGAATTAGGAATTAAAATATATCATCTCAGAAGTGGGAGAATGATATTGGATACCAGGACAGGGTGATCGGGATATAATTCATTTTGTTTTACATGGGCCCTTGGATAAGAAAGAACGTCTTTTATGACGGAGTAAAAGAAAATTTCTTGGTGTTATATTAGTTTCTGATTTAATTAGATTTCTTTTTGTCTTGTTCTTATATGAAAACATTAATTTTCCCCGTAACAGATTTTAATGTACCATGCTATATATTTCCCTTTTAAAGCATGTGTTTATTTTATTACCCTCTGCTTAAACCTCTGTAATTGGTTCCTGAGTGTGCAAGTCCGGACCACCCCCAGGTCAATTTCACGAGCACACCAGGGGCCTATAAAGAAAAAATTTCTAGCTTCCTTCCAGGGGAACACCAGGTACTATCTCAGAATTTCATTTAAGCAAAATCCCATATATGGTCTTTAACCAAATAGAAATATTCATTAATTTAGTATTTTATTAGTCTAATTTTCCAAAACCAATTAAAATGTCCCCAAACACAATTCAAATAATATCAACGATTACCATAGATTTTTTAAAAACTACCCAAAAAGTTGATGCGGAACATTGTCTGGTTTACACAAGACATTGTACATTTGTTTCTAATCTATTTCTCTTGTAGTTTTATATCATATTAAATTTAGAAATCCCTGAGTACCTTTATAACTAAGTTGTAGATGCTTTTTAGCCTATCTCAAGAAGTTTTCAATCTCATATAAAACAATCTCAGAGAATTTAAATTAGCACGGTACAAACCACAGAGGGCTTGAGTGCAAATATCCAAACCTTTACATAGATAAAAGTACCCCATGGTCATCCAGTTTTCATTCCACTGTAACCACATGGTCTTCCTAGAGATGAGCACAATCATTTTCATGCTGGTTGCTTGGTGGCTTGGGCTCAGGAAGGTAGATTCCTCTGTGTGGAATAGAGTTTGCCTAAGTCCAAACAGGACAACCAAGCACTGGGCTTCCTTTTCCATTTGGATGGGGTCTTGGACCAGTAATTTATTTTGAGCTGCCTGGTGTTTGCCTGGAATAGCCCTATCCCATGCCTTCCACAAACTATAGCTGCTTCAGATTAGCTCTCTTCATGGGGACTGGTGGCACTAGAGGTTTTTATTTTACATGTCAATGAGCATCTTATTCAAAGAAGGAAACACCAGGACTGAGGGATACATCGGATTTGCCCCAGGTCATTTTCCTTGTCACTTCTGTGAAGGTAACGGGTTTCCTGAGAAGAGGTCAGTCAGGTCACGTTGGACCCACCCTTTATCTCTGTCTCTTTTCCTTTTCCCTTTGTCACTCAGAAGCAGAGTTATATAGCTTCCCTTTTCTACTAAGTCTGTTGAATGAACTAACTGCAGGTGCGGGTAGGGAGAGGGTTTCTATGTAAACACTCTGTCATGCTCACATGCAAGCTCCCCATCTTTAGCATAGCCTCAGATAGTATGCTGTGTTGGTTCCCTCCTTGCTCTCTAGTCCCATTGGTGGGGTGGAGGGGGGGGCGGGGGGGGCGTGGTGGATGGTGAGTATTGCCGAGGGCTTAGCTGGTTACCTGCATGGGCCGTGAATTGTGTTATAGGAGAGGAACGCTGAGTTTGGGGAATGTACTATTTTCTAGCCAGAAGTAAGCAAGCTTGCTTTGCGTCTGAAGGTAGACATTGCCTCAAGGCTTCTCACTACAAACACAACCTGAGAAATGGTTAGGGCCTTGCATTCTGGGCAGACTCAACAAGACACATAGGTGAGAGAGTCCCATGGAGGACCGTTTCTCCCAGCAGGGTACATTTACCAGTCTTTTACCCTTAAAGAAGCTAGATTTTATTTCATTTAGCTCCTCTTCACTGAAGTCATCTACGACTTCAACGAAATTACATCTGAACACATTTTTCAGTTATTTAATTTTTCAATTAAATTCTCTCAAAACTATTTCAATTCCATGTATTTGGGGACTACGGATCATACAGAAAATGATGAAAATGTGTTACAACTGTTCAGACACAGCCTCCAAGTTCACATATTTTTCCCTGGCTAATATAGTAGAGACGTTTATCTCTCTTTTGAATGGATTTAAAAAAGAAGTTTCTCCTTATATACTTTTATCAATTTTCCTTTTACCAATCGTTCATGTCTCAAGTACTCTTCAACATTCCCCTTGGGAAACAGCTATTCCAAATAGGAAATCATTCCTGAGAATATATCTTTGAACCATTAAAAAAATGTTTGTTGGCAAAAGCACAAAGCTTCAAAGTTACAGCTCTGTTTTAGAAGGTCTGTGAAAGCACAGTCTGGAGCTCATACAAGTTAAAATGTACTTCCCCACAATAAAAAACTTATTGTTTCTTGTCGGTGATCTTCCCTACACACACTCTTTGACTCTCAGCTGAGAGAAACAGATCAGTGAAAATTTAAGACATTTCTTTTTGTTTGTTTATGCTTAATTGATTATTTCCCTGATTTGGTTAGAATTTTTTAGAACAAAAACAAGGTTTTTATTCTCTATTGTAAACCTAGGT